AACCCAACAACTCTTATTCCTTTCATTTTCACTCCCAATAAAACTTTAAAAAACTCACAGATCTCCTTGGATAAAAATAAAAACCACAAAGAATATGTAATAAATATATTAGGATTAAAAACAAGGTTTTACAAAAACAAAATCCAAACTTACCATAAGGGTCAGACTGTTCTGTTCTCAAAATTTCAAAGTTTTATACGGGAAAAAATTAAATAAATATAAAATCTGAAATTTTTAAAAAATTGAGTGTCATTCATTAAATCCGCCCTTGAATATGAGGGATTACAAGAATATGAGTTTTCTATTGTTATTTATAAACTAAAATTGGTAATGGTAAGTGAAATGATCTTAAGGATTGTGGCTTATATAAGTAACCAATGAACCTTGGCAGTGGAATAAAACAAAATTTTGGTTCATTGATCACTCAAATCCCATGATAAGGGTCATATTATATATATATACACACAGACAAAATAAATAATCCATACAAGGATTATAGCTTATACGGGAGATGGAGGCTCCTTCAATGTCTTTGATCTCTTCTCTAGTCAATCCAAGAAAAAGACAGCACATATGATATCCAGATTTTGTTAAAGAATTGAAAAACAATCTCTCACAAAAAGGGAAGGGCTGCTAGGGCTAAAGGAGCAGCAACTCTCTTTTAATTTTCTCCTTTTTTTTTTTTTTTTTTTTTTTTNGAGAGCTTTCTTTTCCCCCCTGTAAATCTTGATGCTGAATATCTTGTTTTTGATGTTTGAGATTCATGTCTCCAGTTGTAAGTGAAATCCTCCGTTCAGGGTTTATGATCAATTCCTCTCTCAGACGCAGGACCCATCTTGTTCAATCTTTCTCTGTTGTGTTCCTCTATTGGTTCTATGTGTTTTCATAAATAATCTTTCTTCCTGAGAGTTATTTTTTCAGAGCATATATATATATATATATATATATATATATTATATGTGTAATATATCATTTGGTGTTTTGATTGATTATAATAAATCAATAAATCATTATAATTTTTTTTTGTTCCTCATTGAATCATTATTTCAATTCTATTACCTAATTGCCCTTGTTATATAATGATAGCTATTTATTTAGAATTTATTGTAATATATATGGTAGTTATTTATTTAGAATTTATTATAACATATTATGTATTATCATACATTATATATATATATATATATATAATGTTATGTATTATTTAGAATATTAATGAGACATTATAATATATATGGTAATCTTTATATAGAATTTATTATAATACATTATACAAAATATGTTATAAAATAAAAATTATACATTATACATAATATGTTATTATCTGTAATCATAATATCATATGTTAATACTTATTACTTAATACAATAATACATAATATTATACTATATATATATGTGTGTGTGTGTGTGTGTGTGTGTGTGTGTGTGTGTGTGTGTGTATAATGTATCATAATTATCATTTTAATATTTGGATTCATTATAATCATTAACAAAGGGCAGATCTAACACTTTTGAGGGTGGACATTTTAACAAAAAAATACTAATATGTACAATTTTTGGATTTTGGTCTACCCTAATAGAATCATTAATCGAAAAAAATATATATTAATATGTAATTAGTTTTTATTTTGGCCCATCCTAACAGAAATTTCTAGATCCGCTATTGATTATAATAAATGCAATAATCATTATAATTTTTTTTAATCATTATAAATAAAGTCTTTGACACCTTGTGGAGTGTGGACCTTGTCCTTCATTTTAAATGATTTTCAAATTTTCGATTCCATATTTCCATTACGTAATTACCATTTTCCCTTGTTATGTTTTCATAATAACAGTTTTGCCCTTCATTTATAAACACAAATTATGCCTAAATCCATTCAACTCACAATGGAATATTGCAATCAAAGTTTGAAAGTGAAACCCTAAATTTCTTATCTAGTAAAAAAGATGCAACAAGGTGTGCCTCTTCATCGTCAAACCTTCACTGGAATATCATCGCCTCTTCGCCGATTCCGACCTCCACATTTCATCAGTGGCTTTTCGCCTCTTCACGTCTTTTTTCTCCGTGCCCTTCGCATCAAGATTCAAGAAAAGTAGATTTGTTTTCCTTTAAAGTTTCAGGCTTTCATCAGTTTTGGTTCGTATGAGTGAAGATTTTATGTGCCATTTAGATTGATTGATTGAGTTATGCATTTATGTTTAAAGATTTTGTGTCGGGTTTAAGGGTTTAGATTGGTTCGTGTGATGTGATTGAAGATTTTATGTGCTTGAAAATTTTGTATTTGCAGTTCATGTTTGCACCTACTGTGCAGTGTGCAAACTGCACTGCAGATTGCCAACCAAACTGCACTTTTGTATCTGCTATGCAGTTTTGCTTGTGCAAAGTGCACTACAGTTCGCATATTTTTTAACATGTTTATTTTTTATTTTTTATTTTTTTTTGCAATTGCAATTTTTTTTTTTTTAACAAATGTGTAAACTGCTGTAGGGGTTTTTTTGCAATTATTTTTTTAACATGTTTATTCTTTTGTGGGTGTTATCTGTAGGTTATTAATAGGTTATATTACACAATGTCAATATTGACCAAAAGAAGGGGTTTAGAAGAGGATGTGAACCGATTTTCTGAAGCATCCAAAAAATATCTATTGCGAGTTCCCACATGAATATTCCATCCGATGGGAATGACCAAGAACAATCTCCAGCTCAGGGAACTAGTATACCAATCACAACCGATACCCTTGGTTCAACCCTTCCCCTCTTCCCCAAGAGGAAACTTATGTTACTAGAACTGGAAGGCCTGGGTCAGTTGTATGGCAACATTTCAAAAAAGTTTTAGTTGATGGGAAGGACATTGAAGATTGAAGTGGTATAATTTTGATGATATGGATACTTTTGGTGAAAAGTTTTGGATTTCATATGTGACAGGTTTATTTCTCCATATTTTAATTGTATGCAATTTAATATGGTTTAGATTTTTTTTAGGTTTGTAATAATCTAAAATTTGTCTACAGGTTGTTTGTGGGCTACACATGGAAATGGAATGTTAGGTGTTGTATGTTGGTTGTTGAATCTTGATAGTGTGATGTATTGAATCTATTGATGTGGATTGTGGGGGTCTTTTTGGCAGTTTGGCAGCTTATGTTTTGAATCTTTTGATTACAGATCTGTCACAAATTGTAATATATTATCAATTTAGTATGACGGTCTTTATGTTTAATATGCACATTATAGATTTAATTTCTTTTTGGATGGTATATTATAATTTGGAGAAAATGGTAATAAGGACCCAAAAAGACACAAAAGTACAAAACCCTCAAATCCCCGAATTCCCCGTTTAGGGAACGAGCTTAATTCGAGGAATCCCTGAATTCTCCGAACGGGCTACGGGCTAGGATCAAGGAATCCCTTTGGGCTTTCGAGCCAGGGCCGGGGCCAGAGACAAGGGTCCCCAGCCCGTGCCCATCCCTAAATATTAATATATCAATAATTATACGCATGTAATTTGCTATATTAAATTCCCTTATAAAATTGAACACAGGCAATCAACCTCAGTAAATTTAATTGAACAATAAATTACCAAAAATACCCTTAAATAAAATACGTAATTTTGCTAATTAAATTCCAATATAAAATTAGGCATAAGCAACAACCTCAGCAAATATAATTGCACAACAAACTTACCAAATTGCTTTCACATCTAAAAAGATGAAAATGCCCCTTAAATCAAAATCCTCAAACTACCGCCTATATGTGCGACCCATGGGCTCTCTAATACGTTGGCAGTAAGTAGTTTCACAATTAACCACCAATTAATCGTCTCACTACGCACATACCAAGATTGGCTTCTAGCTAGGCATTATGGTCACCCAGATATAGAGATCAGCGGAGTCTTGATACATGTCAACGGTATGATTACCATACAATCAAATTTTTTCAACAATTGTTATCTCATCAAGGATGAGGCATAGAAATAGTACCAACCTCAGATATCCTTGATAACTTGGTATTCAATTACTAGACGAACGACTGGAATAATAAATTAGATTGAGCGACAACTCAACCCCACTGTGGCCACATTTATTGTCGTTGCCAATATAACCAAACTACGTAGTGAGATAAATTTTGTCATACTTGAGAATGATGGATCTCGAGAGCTACGTAAGTCTGAGAGAGTACGCCATGAGCCCGAGAGATATGGTTTCCTCATGACTCAGCACAACGATATACAGGTTTATCAGGGCAATGAACCTAGAACCTACGATGATGCTATATCGAATTCAGATTCCTCTAAATGGCTAGAAGCCATAAAATCTGAAATGGACTCCATGTACTAGAACCAAGTATGGACTCTGGTGGATTTACCCGAAGGGGTTAAACCCATAGGATGTAAATGGGTCTTTAAGAAGAAAACTGATATAGAAGGTAATGTGCATACCTATAAAATAGGCTAGTTGCCAATGGTTTCAAACAAAAGCATGATATAGTCTATTATGAACCCTTTTCGCTAGTAGCAATGCTAAAGTCCATTTGGATAATGCTTGTAATAGCTGCATACCATAATTACAAGATTTGGCAAATGGATGTTAAAACTACTTTCTTGAATGAAAACCTTGTAGAGGATGTCTACATGACACAACTCGATGGTTTTGTTTTCGAAGGACGAGCAAAAAAGGTATGTAAGTTGCAAAGGTCCATATATGGACTTAAGTAAGTTTCAAGGAGTTTGAACATTCGTTTTGATAAAGTAGTTAAAGAATTTGGTTTCATCAAAACAAAGATAAGCCTTGTGTTTATAAAAAGTTCAGAGGAAGCGTAGTGATATTCCTAGTATTGTATGTTGATGACATACTATTAATTAAGAATGATATATCGAACTTGCAGATGGTAAAGACTTAGTTATCCAAGTGCTTCTCCATGAAAGACTTAAGAAAAGCAACCTACATCCTTGGTATCAAGATCCATCGAGATAGATCATGTAAGTTGTTTGGCCTAAGTTAGAGTATATACATCGACAAGATATTGAAAAGATTCAATATGGAAAAATCTAAGAAAGGGTTTCTTCCTATTTCACATGGTATTATCTCAAAGGGCATGTTTCCTAAAACACTCATTAAAGACGATGAAAGTTGCTGAAGTAGTTAACCAAAAATTTACAAGAATTCAAGCCATTCAATTGTTGTTTTATTGGAGATCTTGCTCACAGTTAACTTTAAAGATTGATTCCTTATATATATATATATATAGAAGGAATCAATCTTTAAAGTTAACTGCCATTGGATTCATCTGAAGGCTTCAAGAGCCACTTATTCAGTCGTGCTGATGCTTCATTCACCTAAAACAGCCAATAGTAGTATCATCAGATATATATAAAAAATCTTTTCTTTAAAAATCGCGGGAATTGTGTTTAGTAAATAAATTTTGAAAATTGCTTTAATTTTTAAAAGCTATAAATATAATTTTGATAAATTTAATGTGCAAATTGTATAGTAAATGACCATTTTTCTCAATATGTTTTTATCGTTTGAAATTAGTATTTTTAACGAGTATTCAATAAATTAAAAAAATGTATTAAAAAAATTTGTATTCAATAAATTATTATTTAATTAATAATTTAAGAATGATTAAAATGGTTATTCAATGAATTAAGTTTTTGTGTAAAGTTTATACTGTACTTAGAAGAATTATATAAAGTTATATTTTTCATTTAGATTTACAAATTAACTTAAAAAATAACTTCATTTTTAAAAGTTACCCTTGCTAACTTTTCATATCTTTTTATAAATATCGTTATTTTATAATCAATTTATCAAACACTTTTATGATTATAATTTATGAATGAAGTGATTAATTAATTTTTTAAGCTACAACAATCTCAATCATAGGATAAACATTTGATTAAGACCGCAGGAGGAGTGATGATACTATTCAATCAGATTTTTAGAAAATTTATATCATTTACCTGTTGATCCCAATCGGTTTTATAGGTGATATAGCCAAGTACAAGTACTTGCGTTACAACTCCAAGCAGCATTCCAATCCATATACCCTGTGAAATCATATAAACAAAACTATTGTTTGTGAAATGAACAAAGACAAACCCTTGCTAATTTACAGAACAATCGAATTAAATGACACATCCGCCTACCTTAACTTTCATATTGGCTACATATGCGAGAATAATACCAACAGGAATGCCAATGAAATAATAGCAACAAATGTTAACATATGCAACCACAGTCTGCCGCCCGGCACCTACTGCCACCCCTGCAATTAACAATTTACATGTTAACTATATGAAGTTAATCTTCTAAATTAATTTTTTTACAAGTTTTATTGTCTGCATAATCTAAATTGCATGCCTGAGAGTACTGCCTGGATGCCATTGAGGAAAACTGAGAAAGCTAGTAGTACAGAGAGGCTTGAAACAGAAGCTATTACTACCTCACTACTTGTAAAAATCTTAGCAATACCATGGCTGAACACTAGACACATTATAAAAAAGAACATTCCAATACTCGCTGTGGTGCTAATTGCAACTTTCACAGAAAATTTTGCGGTTTTCGCATCTCCTTTCCCCAATTCATTTGAAATTCGCACACTGTAAACATGATTCCATTTTATGTAAGAGTAACTATCACCCTCATTCATAATGGTTTATGGAGATCTGAATAATGAAAGTCATACCTAGAGCCAGCCAGAAAGCCAAAGCACAACATAAATTCCCAAGATATGATGTTGAGGCTACAATGTGAAATCAAATTAATTAATTAATTAGCTTATGTTTGGAATCATAAGGCAGTAAGAAAAACTAGATTCGGTGTAACACTGCCACTCACTGTCTAAATATTATCCTACCCACTTTTATGGTGGAGCTTGGACTTTTCTTTTACCCACCTCAAATAGTGGGGCTCAAAGCTACTCTTAATTCGATTCCAAGGATAAAGTCTTGAGCTCGAATCAAAGAGGGACATGAATTGTGCCTCACTATTTAAGGTGTGTAAGAGACAAATCCCAGTCTCATCATAAGAACCGGCAGGATAATATCTTGATAATGAGGACTTGATATTATATTCAGGTACAAATTTAAACTCACCAAATAGAGAAGGCTGAAATCTCACTTGTGGCATTTTTCATATATCCTGCCACTAGGACCAGAATAGCATTGTACCATAACTCTAAGCTATAATGGATGATAATTAAACACACAAGAGGAACAAAAATGAAAAGTTAATACTTTATGATAATGGAATTACTAAAAAGAAAATCTAGAGAAATTAATGCACTTACCAAAGCATTACACCTGACGATATTGAGAGCTTCAAAACAGGAAGTAAATCAACAAAAGCAGCCAAACTGAATCCATTCCAAGTATTGGGACACCAACCGCCAAAGATATAAACAAACTCTCCAATTACTATAAACCAACTAGCTATTATCATTGCACTCATGGCACCAGGAATACCAAAGTTTAGTACGTTAACAAAAATCCATGACAAGAGCACATGAATAACAAATGCAACGGCTGAAAGCCACCCAACGATGATGTTTTTGAGCTGTGCTTGTAGGTACTTTTGGATGGTCAAACAAAAGATGAAAAAATAGAGAATGGGGATGAACCATAAGGAGATGTATCCGGCTTCACTAGCGATGTCGGATTCTTCACCAAGCAGCTTGAAAATGTCTCCAGCGAATATGAATATGGGAAGCAATACGGTTCCAGTAGCAATATTTATAATCCATGATCGCTGCAAGTATATGCCCATCATATGGTATTGTTTTGCTCCAAATGCTTGCCCACATAAAGTCTCTGTCGCACTTGACATGCCTAGCTACAAAATTGATCATAATAGAAAAACCATGTTAATTAATTGCTTGATTGTATAAGCCAAACTGATCATATAAATATGTTCTAAATTAAACCTTCTCACTTCTGCATAATTAATTTTTCCTCTCTATGCTCCATATGCCTAATCATTTTGACCAGAAAAATTGTGCTGATGGGGGAGAGCAAACACTACTGTAGTCGCCAGCATAAATATTACATTGTGCTCGATATTGGCTTATAACAAGCCCAAAGAAATGGACATTTATAAATAGGGATGAACCTAGGAATTTAATTTAGAAAGGGGAAATTTAAAATAAAATAATATCAAATAAGGGAAAAGTAAAATAAATAAATAAAGGTTTCTCCTTCCATCACATCCCTATTTATATTACATATATGCATGATTTCACGTTATATAAATTATAGGTGAATGATTACATGATCTTGGTGGGACAAGAGTATTTACATTTTGGGCCACTGGTAAATGTAGCCGAATGTAAATGCAGATGTAAATCCGAAAATAATATATTACTGTTTATGTAGAGCATCTAATTACTGCTCACTTTTATATTTTAAGAAGAATTGTGTTTTTTTTTTTAATTTTCAATATTTTATCTTTAATAGTTTTATATTGAAATAGATTACAAAATAAAAAACCATAATTAAAACCGGGACCAGCAGTGGCCCAAACTTCGAGGTAATTGACTGGGCAATAGCCCATTCTAAATTTTGTGGGGGAGAACTGATGGGCCATAATTGTTTGCCACTAAACAAAAACTTCACAGGGACTATTGTATATATTATAAAAGGGACCAGCTACAATAGGAAGAAGCTACATCATAGTGAAAGGTATGACAAAAGCTATACAGAATTGATGCTCTTTATCTTATAAAAGCTAGAAGAAGTTGATACCCTTTAAAACAATCCATGCATATCACGATTTTGAATAAAAACAAGTAGAAGCTAAGAGTAACACCCTTTTGAACATTGGGAGAATTTTTTTACTACCCTTAAAGCTTTTTAAATCGATCACTCAAGTCTCAATTGACAACTTTTACACTTTTTATTAAATGTACCTTCAAAGTTTTAAAACTTACATAAATACAATTTTGCTCTAATTTCATTATATCTTCTATTATGATATGTAGGTGAAATGATAACTTTGGTCTTGTAAGAAAGTGTTGGTATAAAATGTTAAACTTTTTTTTTTTTTTTTTTTAAACTTTTTTTTTTTTTTTTTTTTAATAACTAGTGTGTCTAAGCTAGCTTACGTGCACCTCAACTAATCCCTAAAGTCTATTAAATACCCTATAAGCTCAATGTTCCAAGTAAACGACAAATGTGATAGATGGTCTCAATGTGATTTGAACCCAAGAAATCAATAAAGAGAGCAAACTTTCTTGACCACCATATCAACCCATTGGGATTAAAATGTTAAACTTTTAGTCTAATAAAAAAGTGTTTTGTAAACCTAATTGACAATGTAATAAAGTTATGGCAAAGGACTATCTGTGATAAAGATTTTAAACTTTCAAGATCCATTTAATAAAACAAAGGGGAATCATTGTACTTTTTTCAAACTTTTGAGGGTCTATTTGTAAAGAATGCTAAAGTTGTCTTCTAGTAATAAGTTCAGAAACCTTAAGGGTAGTCTATGATATTTTCCCTTTAAACATAACATAGAAATAGAAATTAATTAAGCATAAGATAAAAGTAGAAGAATATAAAATCTTACCAAAATCCCATTTGCAAATCTGACAGCAATGATTTGGATGAGGGCATAAGCAGCAAGTTGAACCTCCCCAATATGTCCAATAAATCCTTGTGTAACCACAAACATACCATATTGACTCACTCTTGCTAACATTGCTGGAAGTGCAATCCTCCATAGTTTTTTAGACTCTGCCCAAATCCTACCTTTTAAATTACTATCATCTTTTGCTTCTGATCCCAGAAGCCTCTCTTCCATCTTAATCCTTCAATAAAAGCATCTATGTAAATCAAGCTACACTTTTTCGTTAAAAATTATTAATTATATAACGAAAAATGGGAAATTGCGTAATCTAGTAAATTTTAAAAGATTTAAGTGTTCATATATATAGAAGAGATTAATCTCAAATCTTATTACGTAATTGACAATGCATAATCTGTATTATTTACTTTTATTTAAATTTATTATCATTTTCTGTTTAAATATTATCAAACAAAATATTTTATATCATCCAAATTACGTTTCTCCTAATGTTACAACAATTACTAGGGATGTAAAACCCCGAGCCTGAACCAGGCTCACTCGACCTCAACTCAGGTTTTTTCTTAAAATCAAAGCCTAGGAAAAAGCTGGGGTTTTGTAAACCCGTGTTGGGCATGTTTGGTTAATATAATAATATGGGTAAAAATCCATATTAGGTCATAGATAGGCCCAACCACAATTGGCACAATGCCACGGCCTACAAACAATTGGCTCTACGCCTCGCAACCTAACCAAGGTTGACACTACCTCAAAGCCCTCCCGTAGAGGATCCACTTTATGAAGTGGCTAATTTTAAAAGTTGGTCCGTTCTACGGGTCGACGCGCTTTATGATCTCCATGAGACAATCCACTCCACGAACTAGGTTACTCTACAAGTCGGGCCACTCTACAAACTAGACAACTCTACGAATTAGGCCATAAATACTCCGGCATATCAGTTACTTAGTCTATCATCAACTCTATGAATTAAGTCTCACGTCTCTTTAATTGAGTCATAACGAACTCCAGGTCTCTAGTCACATGACGTGATACTCGGAAAGAGATTGCAACGTCTTCACCAAGTTAAGTAGATGTAGAGTCGATGTTCACTCCCCAACGAGACTCTAAGTCTCATGGAAGCTCTAACCACTTCAGCTTCCTATAAACACCAAAGTTGACCCCCTTAGAAGGGACTCAAAACTTACTCTAGACTTGACTTTTACATTGCCAAATTCTCTCTTTATACTCTTACTCACCGTCGTCAATTCTCACTGTAGAGTCAAGTTATGACCACTATACAACGGTTGTTGTGCCATAATTCCATGTTCATGATGACTTCTATCACCTCTAACTCTTCATTTCCTTTACTTAGTTTCCTTCTACTTGTGCTAATTTGAGCGTCCGATTACTTATGGTAGACACCACATCGGTGTCAAGGACTTTGCATTCATCTTTCCTTTCTTTGTGTCTCTGCTCGTTGGTTTAGCAGGTTGTCGGTGGCCTCATCCTCACAAAATCAAATGTATAATTTTTTACCGTCTACAATAAATAGGGATTTTTTTTTTTTTAAAAAAATTTGTTATAAATGGGGCCTAGTGTAATTTAAAGGGGTTTATTAAAATTTTACTTTATTGAAGATAGTTGAATGTTATTTATAAGGGGTTTTGGTAATTTTTTAGAGGGCAACCGTAAATTTGAAGGGGATTTTATGAAATTTTAATTAGAGGGTTATATATAATTTTACAAGCCTTGTTTAATATTCCTGTCCGGGACCTGATTTTCCAGGCCTGGGCCCGAGTGTTACAAAAGCCTGGACCCGGTTTTTTAACATCTCTAACAATTAGTTATTCATAAGTTTAAGAGTAGAGTCTTTAAAAAAAAATTAATTACTATTTATTAAATTTAACCGCACATGATAATTAGTTCTCTATTCATTTTTGTACATTTTCTAAAAGGTTGTTCTTAAAATAATATTTGTGTTTTTTTCTTATTATATTGAGTAGTATTTTTTAAAAAGTTGAATTGAGTTATTATTACAAGGGAAGATTTGAATTTAAAAATGTGTTTGATAAAATTATTTTTTTAATCATTATATTTGTTAATTTAGTTAAACACTTTCTACAATAAAAGTTTTAAAATTAACAAAAACATTTTATCCACCCATTAAATATTGACAATCGATTTTATAATTTTTTTTGAATGTTTAGTTAAATTAATAAATTTAAAGGGTTTAAAAATAATTGAAATAGAAAAAAAGTGAAAGAAAATAAATATTGTATTTTAGGTAAAATAAGAATAAAATAAGGTAAAAATATTAAAACAACCACAGCAATTACTTTTTAGAAAATTAAAACAAAAAAATCAAATACTAATAATGAGATGAGATAAGAATAGTACTAAGTGTCAAAAAGAACTAATGTCAAGTTACTATTTATTCTCTTTCCCAAAATATTTTCCAATGTAATAATGATGACGCTTCGAAATAATACACCCTCTTTTTAATGCAATTTAATCATCATCACCGTTTGTGTTGTAATCACGTTCAGTTATAGATATATAAATCTTAGAACAACAGCGAAAAAATAATTAATAAAAATAAAATAAACAAAAATATACATCCCAACAAATAAATTTATTAGAGAGTAGATTTGTTAATTTATCCAATATATATATATATATTATGATCAAGAATGTCGACACAAGTTTATACATATCTCAAACTATTATCCAATAAGAGTTAACAGTGACAATCTCCCTATTAACCACTGAGAAAAAATTTAAACTTAAAACTTCTTAACTAAAATACTCAAATGTCTGTATAGAAGCAACCCAGAGGTAATTTCCAATATTATTATTTGAAAATAAAAGTAGGAGGGAGGAAGATTAATTTATTTTTTCGTCGGTAAGCATTCACTTGAAAGGTAGCAAATAAAATATCAATTAATGGAGGTAGGTTTGGTATTAATTAATTAATTCTTAAAATCAAGCGAAGAAAACATGTCGTTTGGAAATCCGTGCGTATTGCATAAATGCATTGGACTGATGGTTGAACCTTATTCTGCTTGAAAGTTGTTGAATGAACACCATACTTGACATCAACAATAACTTAGCCATGAAAAATATAAATTTGCAGAAAATCAAATAAAAACTTCAAGTATTAGATGAACGAAGTTAGTACTGTTAGTTGATCAGAATCAGCAGTCGGCTGGTAGGTTTGACAAACAAATCAAAATAATAATAATAAAAAAATAAATGGCGAAGAAGAGAGAGTTCATGTTGAATGCAATCTATATATCATGTAAAAAGAGCAACTGACACAGAAAGTATTATAGTGCTTTTTGGAGAAAGAAGAGAGATATGAGAAGGGAACTTACTTGGTCTTGGATTTGAAGTTGATATTAAGAGAATCGCTTCTGCGATTGTGTTGATAGTTCAGAGACTTCAGACATGAGAATGTTTTGCCCTAGTATTCATATCCCAGTAGAGAAATGAGAGACAGAGACAATCAAATGGGGAATAGTTTCTTGAAATCTAAAGAGCTTTAATTCAGAGGAAGAGAGAAGAGACAGTTCAAGAAAAATATTGTGGGGAAGGTGGGGTTTGCTGTATTTTTTAATGAAAACAAGCATAACATTAATAATCAAGCACGTCTCCTTCAATTTTTTTATTTTTTATCTCAACAGTACCAGAAATTATGTTATATATATAATAGATTAAATCTCAGTGCTTACTTAAAAGAGTATGGAGTGACGTTTGCCAACAAAAGAAATCTATATATACGTACAGGATTGCAATTAGGTGATTTAAATATTTTAATTTAATTTATGACTGTCATAAATTAAATTAAAATATTTAATACCAATCCAATATCCCTTATTATCATTGAATCAACAAAAACAAACGATTCAAAAGTAATATAAGAACATACATTTAAATATTAGAGTTACAGTATTCTGACTGACTGATATATATATAATAAAAATAAAATAAAATAGTGAAAGAATTTAATTAAACAAATGCGCCACAACCATTAAGAGCGGATCACAAAGTAGATGCCAACCTTTAGAAAAGAAAAAACAAACGAATCCACAGCTTGAATAAAGCTCAGTCAATTTCAGAATGAATTGTGCACTGTTCATTACTTCTCACGTACATAACATTTATGTAGTCATTCCATGATTTCAATGGTCTTTATTGATTCGATTAAGCTAATTTACACCACTTGGACGTTTTTAAAATGTCTATAATAAGGGTTCGTTTGTTATGTTAATAACTATTACTCGACGTGGGTTTTATTTTTTTAAATAATTTATCTTAGGTTCATAAACTTTTGTCACACAAATTTTAATTCCTTTGTGAATTACCAATTCAAATAGATGGAGAAAAAAAACATATATAGCCAGAAGGCCCAAAACATGAAGTCACGATCAAAGAGATTACTTTTTTTTAATTCATATAAAAAAGCTATTTACGTCTGTCAAGTCTCTACCAATTATTATAGAGTTTGACCAGTAACTGCACGATTAAGATTGAGAATCTGAGCCCAATCAATTACCATTCGTCTTGTAACTCTTGTTCTGAAGGGAGCTACCAAATTCCCTCTGTGAAGGGTAAATTAATTCAAGTTCCCAGGTTTTCACGGTAATCATAAATCTTTTATTAATTTACAATCAGTCATGTTTACTAAAAATAGATCATGTTTGATCAATTACGAGTTAAGAGAAAATTATTAAAAGTGTTTATCAATAAATCTTTATTAAGGTTTTAAATATGAGAATAAATAATACAGCTCTGATTTACCATAATTACAATTGAACCTTCTGTTTCGATTGGATGTAACTCTCAAATTCCATTAAAATTGAGCGAATTTTATTATTTGACACATGTAGATCAATTAAATACTATTTTTACCTTCTTTCTTTTATACCCTTGTTTTTTTTTTTTTCTTGAAGAACATTGTAATCGTTACATAAATATGTGTTGGAGATAAAATACTAGGCCTAAAGGGCAAAAAAATGAAGAACAGGTGAGGTTTAGATGAACAACTAGGAGCTTTGTCTAAGAAATAAGGTGGTCAGATGGCCCCATAAGGCACAAATACAGAATTTGAAATTGGATACCCCAGTAATGGGTCAGGGACAGCTACGGCTTCAGGCCCAACTCCAAATGATAACCTAGTAGCCCAATATTTGAAGTTTACAAAAAAGAAATGCTTAGCTTTAAGGAAAAGCTGACATGTGGCAGAAAGCTGAGTAACAACAGATGGTCTAACTCATACAAGTAAACACCCACTACTTAGGTGGTTACCTGTTTCCATGAATGGATGTGAAAAAAACCTGGCCTAGTCAAGTCCAAGGTGGCCTGACACAGGCGAAAAATTACACCCAAACCCGAACCGAGCCTAGACATTGGTACGAAAGCTCAGGCCGGGATTAGGCTTAGGTATGTTATATGAGGTATTGCTAAACTACAAATAAACTTTTATATAAAATTCTCAAACCCTTAAAAAAGTTTTAGAAAGCCCAACTACCTTATATAAAATACATCCAATTAACTTTTATAATGTAAAATTTTTGACGACCCCCTACAAATTAATTCAACCCTAATACACCGAGTAAATATTTAAAACCGCCATCATCATATCAACTAGACTAGAGCGTAAAGCCTGGCTAGGCTTGGCCTTGGTTCGTGAAAAATGGGCTTTTACTTGGGCTCGAGCTTGTCTTTTTTTAAAAAGAAAAAAACCTAGGCCCAACTCGGGCTTAGGTTACGGGCTTTTTCATCCTTCTAACCACCCACTGCATAGGTGGTTTCCTCACACAAATAAATACCTAGTACTCAAGTTACCTCAAAGGCTCAAACATATATCCAACCACCACTTAAATGGTTACCTCAGACAAGCAACCACCCATTACTTAGGTGGACAAGGTAATTATGAAAGAAAAGGTTATAAACCATCCCAACCACCACATGAGCAGCTACATAACCAACAGAGCAAAGGGTGATCTATAAATTCCAAGGGGCAAGCCAAAGGCAGGGGCTATAATAATTATTATGGTATTACACATAAACACTCCACAAACACCCATACTCAAATTATATGAGTTCAAATTAGTGACTTAAGTATTAGAGAAGCCATGTCGGCAACTGATGCATGCAAAAGCAACAGCCAATTTAAACCTTACTTAAATTTTCTTAAAATGTTGTTTGTTAGCGTCAAGCAAGTAAATGTCTTTCCCGCAGAAGATTTTTCAAACTAACTATTTCTTTACTGAATGAGGGGTTTTTGATTGATAATGCAGAAAATAAAAACAATTAATTAAAAGCAAACAAATTAAATTCAAAGCTGAAAGAAATATGAGAATATCGAGATCCAAGGATCATTTATCACAATTAAACATGTATTGCAATTTAACAAAAACACTTCCTAACTTCCTACCCTTTTAATTATAACAACTTAGAAAATACTACAAGCTCGATAAATTCAATTTCTCCTCACTGTGTGTTGGATTAATCAAACTCTTAATCAAACTATCTATCTATCAAACAACCTAAAATAAGCCATCTAGATTTAATTTAATAAAAGCATTATGAGACGAGAAACATACTGAATCAAGACTAAACTCACAAGCTTGACTTAGTTATCTTGATTGTTTATTCCCATTGCAAACAATTTACCACTAGACATCTAGATTAATTATACGTACTTAATAATCCAAATTGGTAATAATAGATTAACTCAATCATTCAATGCACACTTAAATAATCAAGAGAATCCATTAAGGCATTAATAATAGTGAATAAAACACATAATCAAAATAAGTTGTAATGTAAGAAAAGGAAATTGCAGATTTTATTAATTATCACAGAACATGTTTAGGGCTCTGAAATCACCCATAATCACAAGAAAATTAGCTATCTGTAGAAAATAATAAATCCATAATAGTATTCGTGATAACAAATAATAGAAGGGAGTAGAAAAGCTTGGGAAAATTGGGTTGATCAATATTGTTGCTACAGAATTTTTCCTAGTTGCTTCCTTCCTCTCTCTAATTTTTTGTCTCTTTTTTCGTACCTCAATTCCTTTCTCCTTTAAAACTTGCTAAAGACATCTAGTTATAGTGCTAGGGTTCTAGGATACTTTTGGAACAATTCTAGGTGAATTAAACTTGGAAAATTCAAATAAAACTTATCAGAAAACACCTAGAATTCAGACTCCTCCACACGGGCCATGGCACTCCTTTTTCCATGCTGCGGTGTGTCTCATTGTGCTCACGCACTCATAGCCTTCTGCCACGGCGCAAGAGTTTGAGTGTTGCGGCACGCCTCTTTGTCTCAAATCGAACATGATAACTCCCAAATCTAGCAAAGTCATGAACATATATAAATTGTAGCCCTTCCAGTCGGATTTCCAATGCTTCAAGAATCGTCCAAATTCGAGATCTACAGCTCAAGTTATCGTAAAAATACTAAAGCATGTTTTAGAATTCGTGATTTCCACTCAATTCTTTTTGTTTTATTCAAATATTATTTTTAAGCACCTATGCCTTGACAATACACCAAACATACTCGTGATTCTGAAAAACACATTTATAAAATAGTTAAGTCAAATTATACAAATTAAACCTAATTTTTCACAAATGATACTAATAAATCACTAAGTATAAGTGTATTTTCAAGAACTTATCACAATCCCCAACCAACTTATTGCTAGTCACTAGCAATCTAAGCTATCTAACGATATCCTTTAAATTAAGACTCAAAAACAAAATAAAATCTACTACTAATCTAGCCTAAATCATTTTTATAAATTTGGAATATGACATGCGTGTAAGTCATAGAATCAAACTTTATAGGCTCACTTTTCAAATTGTTCTCCACTAATGTAGAATTATCACACTACCTTAGATTAATAAGTCTTTATAAAAATTGTAACGTTAGGCTAGGATATGGGGTTATAAAAGAACAGAAATGATATAGTAAAAAATAAGAGGCTTAATATTATGCATTTTAAACACAACCCTCTAGCACTAACATACTTTCCTTTGCACCACACTTTTTCCCAACCTTTATCGAGACTTTCTTCTCATGATAATAAAATATTTACTTACAAATTTTCACCCTTCATCAATATCACTACACCCCTTTTTTCTTCGTCCACTTCTTTCATATATATATTTTTTATTTTCTTTCCTTCTTATTTTTTGTTTTTAGTTTTTTTTGAAAGAGAGAAAATTGCTACTCCTCACCTTGATATAAAAAATACTCCACAACCCCCAACCTGTTTCTTTGAAGTGAGAGATCGCATTCTTAAAATGTTGATATGGTAAGCTAACTTAGAAACTTAGATGTGGAAGTTTATGAAGCCTTTTTCATCCAATTTATCATGACTTTGCTCCTTGTGCAATCCGATATTTTAAAACAATAATACTATATTTACAAAGAAATCTTACACAGATTTCTATACAAAGAGAGGTGATAAAAAATGAATAGAAAAGTGAAACAAAAAGTGAAACTTATTATATTCATTTTTCCATTTATTTTTTGTCACATCATTTTGTACGAAAATTTTTGTAAAATTTCTTTG